TTTTTTTTTTTTTTTCATAACAATGCTCTCAACCTCTATTTTATGAACCAATTGAAAAAAATTAGAAAATGCATAGTCTCTGCAGTTGCTAGGTTAGTTGTCTGATTGCGCAAGGTTAGTTGTTTGATTGTGCTAGGTTAGTTGTCTGTATTTTAAGAGCTGACCTCATTTGATCCGCCCCTTAAATATATTATATATATATATATATATATTTGTTACGAACATTTTATGATGTGACGAATTCCCTAATATTATAACTCTTTTATAATATTATTCAAAATAAATGCAATTCGTGCATCATCACCCCTAGTAATTTATACTTATATAAAGAGTCATTCCATTTATTAGAATTAGTAGAAAAAGAAGTCAAAAAGTAATGAATGCATTCTATTTTTCATCAATTAATTTTTATTTAATTTTTTCCCCCTAAAATCGGTACAATAAAATGTACATAAAAAAAAAAGACAGATTTGATGAGCAAGATAAAATCTTGATTTTACGTCAGCCAAAATAAATCAGATCTCAACCTAAATTGAAGGATTTGGTTGGCTATATATATAGAATATAGATATTGATTTACCTAAATCAATACATATCATGTTTAAATATAGATATTGATTTACCTAAAGTTTGTGTATATTGAAAATTCCTTCTTATCTTTGTACAAAAATCTTATTTAAATTGTATGTAAAATCTGATCTGATTTGTTTCTCTATATATAAAGTGATTTCCGTATATCAAGATTTTGTAAAATTTTCCTACATATTATAAAACTTTTATTTGAGTATCTTATAATATAATATTTCCCAAATAAATATATAACGTGTCTCGCATAGATCACGTACTATATATATCCCGTATATATTTTTTTTTAATTCATGTATATAATTATAAGCCTGGACAAATAGTCTTCAAATTGTTCACATCATTCACATCGGGGCTCTGAACTAGTTGAGTACAACGCAGCAGGTTGAGAAGTAAGTAACCAAGCAAAGTGGCAGCGCATGAATTTTTTATTTATTTATTTTATTTTTTTTTTGGGTACAAGGCAGCGCATGAATTTAAATTTAGTAATCTCTCTCCACACTAAAATAAAAACTCAAAAGAAAGGAAAAACCAACCAGAAGGAACCACCTCCGAAACTATCGCTTATCTCTCTTTTCCCCTTTCTTTTTGTTCGTCCTTTTTCAATTTCCTCCCTCATTTCCTTCTCTGTGCCACCGCACAATCATGGAAGTCCGCCGGAGGCCCACAAAGCCTTCACCCGCCAACCACTCCTCCGCCGTCGACCACCACCAGTCTTCCTCCCCCAAGGCCTCCGACGCCCTCCCCCTCCCGCTTTACTTGACCAACGCCATTTTCTTCACCCTGTTTTTCTCCGTTGCCTACTTTCTCCTCCACCGCTGGCGCGACAAGATCCGCAACTCCACTCCGCTCCACGTCCTTACCCTCTCAGAGCTCGCCGCCATCTTCTGTCTCATCGCCTCCTTCATCTACCTCCTCGGCTTCTTCGGGATCGACTTCGTCCAGTCCTTCATTTCAAAATCGGAGGGCGAGGAAGAGAACCAGCGGTTCATCCTCCACCAGGATCGCAACATCCATTGCACCCCGAGGCCAACTCCGGTAATGACGGAGCTCCCCGAGGACGACAAGAGGCTCGTGGACTGCGTCGTCTCCGGCGAAATCCCGTCGTATTCTCTGGAATCGAAGCTGGGGGACTGCTTCAAGGCAGCCAGGATCCGCCGCGAGGCGGTGCAGCGGCTGACCGGGAGGTCCATAGAGGGTTTGCCCCTGGAAGGGTTCGATTACGATTCCATTTTGGGGCAATGCTGCGAGATGCCTGTAGGGTACGTGCAGATACCGGTCGGGATAGCGGGCCCACTTTTGCTGAATGGACGTGAGTACTCGGTGCCGATGGCCACAACCGAGGGCTGCCTGGTGGCGAGCACCAACAGGGGCTGCAAGGCAATCTATGCATCTGGTGGGGCCACCTGCGTACTGCTTAGAGATGGCATGACCAGGGCCCCGGTGGTGAGGTTCTCGTCGGCGAAGAGGGCAACGGAGTTGAAGTTCTTCCTGGAGGATCCTCTCAACTTTGAGACGCTGTGCGTTGTTTTCAACAAGTGAGTCGATTTTATTTTATTTTTTTATTTTTGGCCTTAGTGTTTGTGTTCTATGTGATGTGTTGACTGTTTGGCATGCTTTTGGTTTTGTTGAGTTTGACTAATTGGGAGATTAATTTCTTGGATGGTTGATTCTGTGAATGCATGCCCTTTGGTTTATCAGGCTTAGTGGTATACTGATGCTGATTGATGTTAGGTGTGTTTCATCTGCTCATCATGGAGTCTGAACTATTAATTCACATATAAAAAGTTAAGAGAAATTAAGACCTCTTCTTAGAAATGGATTGCCTCATGGTTATATTCCCCCTTTTTTTTTCCCCTTTTTGTTTAAATTTCCAAAATTTCTTTCATTTTTTAAATATTTCATGGGATTTTGGTTTGGTATTTTGTATTGGGTCAACAAATCTGAAAGGATCATTTTCATGACCATAAAAGTTGTAGCTCTTGTTTGATCTTTAAATGGCTTTTGCTTATCAAAAAAATCCAAAAAAGAACAAGGAAAAAATAAAATAAGAAAGAAAGAGTAAGAGGCATTGCCGATAAAGTCTTAAAGCTCTATTGCAATAGTCGGTTTACACTTGTTTGTTTTAATGGTTGCATAGGTCAAGCAGATTCGCGAGACTCCAAAGCATTCAATGTGCAATTGCCGGGAAGAACTTGTACATGAGATTTAGCTGCAGCACAGGGGATGCTATGGGGATGAATATGGTCTCCAAAGGTGTTCAAAATGTTTTGGACTTCCTCTTGAATGATTTTCCCGACATGGAGGTCATTGGCATATCTGGTGAGTGCCATCTTCACCCCCACCTCTACTCAACTCCAAAGAACACAGAATCAAACTTTTTCTATATTTTTGCTTTTTAGGTAATTACTGTTCGGACAAGAAACCTGCTGCAATCAACTGGATTGAAGGTCGAGGGAAATCGGTGGTGTGTGAGGCAGTCATCACGGGTGATGTGGTGTCCAAGGTGTTGAAATCCAACGTGGCTTCCCTTGTCGAGCTCAACATGCTCAAGAACCTTGCTGGCTCGGCAGTTGCAGGTTCTCTTGGTGGGTTCAATGCTCATGCTGCAAATATTGTGTCTGCAGTATTTATAGCCACGGGTCAGGACCCAGCCCAGAACATAGAGAGTTCACATTGTATAACCATGATGGAGGCTGTTAATGATGGCAAGGATCTCCACATTTCTGTTACTATGCCATCCATCGAGGTCAAATTCAACATCCTAAGCTGCATTCTATTAGCTGATTATGATTTTTTAGTTTTATTGCTTTTTTTATAAAGGCCTTGAAAACATATTTGGTGGTTAAACAATGATAAATGCATTTACTTGTATGCTGCAATTTAGTAAAATTGGAAGTTGAGACAGATATTGAGTTCCATATCCCATTTTTGTTGGATTCCAGGTTGGCACTGTTGGAGGCGGAACACAACTGGCATCACAATCGGCTTGCCTCAATCTGCTCGGCGTGAAAGGTGCAAGCAGAGAGTCTCCAGGGTCCAACTCCCAGCTGCTGGCCACCATTGTTGCTGCCTCAGTCTTGGCAGCTGAGCTCTCCCTAATGTCTGCTATCGCAGCTGGCCAGCTTGTCAAGAGCCACATGAAATACAACCGCTCAAGCCGGGACATCACCAAAATCACCTCCTAAAGAACTCGGGCACATATTTAGACGACAAGCTGCTCGTTTTAAAAGCAAACATTTATTTACTCTCTTTTTTTTTTAGTCATAAGCTTAGTGTACAAAATATGAGCAGCCCAAGTTCTTATTAGGTGTTTATGTTGCTTCTTTCCCTTTCTCCTACTTCCTCCCTTCACGTTTCCTATTTTTTTTTTTTATTTTTTTTTTTTGGTTCTTTTTTTTTTTTTAACTGAATTGCATTTTTTTGTTGTTAGTTGTGTATGTAAACTTGTGTAAGGTGGGGGCAGCTTTGCCTCCCATGTATCAGTTTACAGTGTTTACAATGCTTCCTCCCATGTATCAGCTTTGTGTAAGGTGGGGGCAGCTTTGCCTCCCATGTATCAGTTTACAGTGTTTACAATGCTTCCTCTCCTATTAATTTTTTCATTCTGTACAGTTCCATTAATAAAAGTTCTGTGACTGTCCTTACAATTATGTGCTGGCTCATTGGACTTTTGATTGTGATGTAGGGTCCGTCCAAAAGTGCAGTGAAAAAAGAAGAAAAATTGAATTTGTTTTGCAGTGAAAGTTTATGTGTCGTGAGTTCTTGAAACATCTCAAGTGCATGTTAAAAGAGAGAAGAGAAAGGAAAACATCATTCTTCATTAATGATGGGTCATCTTCTAGATCTGAAGTGAACCGATTGAGATGAGCTCCAATATGCTCCAATATGTCTGAACCACGTCCTATATCGCCACAAACACTTGCAAGTACTCAACGTAGAGAGAGATTTCCGGCTAAGAGCGTCTGATGCTTAAGTTAGTCTTAAAAAAAGGGAGAGATGCTCTGCAGATAGAGCAATGGAACAATATGAAATGTGTGGAGAGTGTAAAAATGAGGGTTTGGTGATACCTCATCCACTTTTATAAGGGAAATACCTGTTCGAGTGCCTGCGGTCAGCCTGCGGTTGCCCGATTTATCCATATCTTAATCGCTTCTTAGTCAGATCCTAGTCACCTTAAGATTCCATCTTATCCGTTTAAGATTCCTCTTTATCCGTTGAGCCTGCTGAATATTGAAATGAGGTCATAATCAATATGCAACTCGAGCTGCGAGCTGTGGGAAGTCAACCACGAGAGGCAGGAGGTCGACTAGGATTAGTAAAAAGGAATAAAACCACTCTTCTAGTAGATCGCCACAGTGTAGTTATCCTTAGATCGCCCTCGAGCTTCATAGTAAGCAAGGTTGCTCGAGCTGTGAGGTAAATGATGAGTGAGGTCGACCTCGAGATGTGAGGTGAGGGATGTCGACCTCGAGCAATGGAAGACCGACTAGCATTTCCATAGTGATGTTGTCTAGAGGTCATCTTCCCGTTATTGTCTCTCAAGTTACATCTCAGGACTCTCGGCTTGTTAATGGTTCCTGTGGTAGTTGGCTTGAGTCATCATATCTCAACTCGACTTGTAGTATAAGAGCACCCGCATTGCACGTTCATTCTGGCCGTTTAAATGATCCTTGCCACGTTCACTCCATTGCGTGCGTTCATTAATTAGTGGGCCCCTTATTCTCGTTCATTACATTGAACGGCTCTTTGAGCCTTTTTATTTTTTTTATTTATTTTTTTTGTTTTCAACGCCTCCAGTGGCCTTTTTTTTGTTCATTTTATTTTATTTTTCATTTAATTTAATGCTGCTTTTTTTTGTATTCATTTAATTTTAACTATTTTTATATATATTTAATACACTTCTCATTTAAAATTTATTATTGCAATTTAAAAATATTAAAATTTATTATTATAATTTAAAAATATTAAAATTTATTTTTATTGAGAATCGAATATAAAAAATTATATTGAAAAAGTGAGGTAATGGGTCCCACATATGTATTTAAATGAATGTGTAGGAATGTGAGTGTATATTTAAATGGAGAGAGATTTAGTGGAAATATGATGTGAAGATGATGTGGATGAGAGATAGTGTTACTTTTTAATTGAATGAATGAATTTTGTGTTAAGGGATGTGGATGCCCTAAGTTATATACTCACACTTGGTTTGACTATATCAACTAATAAGGTATAAAATAATGTTCGGATGATTAAGGTGACGACGCATTGGATGATGTGGTGGTTGATCGCCAAGGGCCGTTGCCGGATATACGTCTGAAGGATAGCTTTTATGAGACGCTGCTACTTTCATGGAGGAACATGGTGGTAGTCAAGGTGATGGGAGCGGCTTTCTCTCACTCCCTCTTGTAGAACAAGCTGAGCGCGATGTGGCCGTTTATGAGTGGGTGTGATATGGTTGATTTGGAGAATGGCTACTTTCAGATACGCTTTAATACTCAGGCGGATGCCGAACGGGCACTGGTTGGAGGCCCATGGGTTGTGAAATTTGATACTTGAACACCAAGTATACAGAGTTGCACGTAAATTAAATGGACAGACAGTAATGAAGATTCAAACAATTGCAGAAGCAGTTTTTCCCTAAAATTGAACCTTCAGGAGAGCGTCCCACTCTCCCTTCAGATCTCTTTCATTAATGTGAACAAGTTATACATCATCCAAGAGTTTACAGTATAGAGTCCCTCTACACTCTACTTGAATAATGATTCACACAACTACTTATCCGACCACAACTCCCTTGTGGATTTTCTAGTTCGAATCCCTCAAACTATAAGAACGAACCTCCGAACGTTCTTTTTCAAAATGTTCTGAATATCACTCTTTTTCACTCAAGGAAAGAAAAAATATCTAACTCAAAAATTCAAAAAAAGTCATCCTCAACTCTGGTCTCGTCCTCCTTTTATCTTCAGCACCCTTTGGAAAGTCTTTTCACCCAAGACAAATGCGGATAAGGAATGTAAATCTCTCGAACTTCTTCATCTTCGATTATGGAAGGTAAATCTCGCGATCCTCCTTCTCTTTAGATTATGGAAAGTGTATCTCCCCCTCAATCCCAAAGTCCTGCCAAAATAATAACATAAATAATAAGTCCCTTGGACTTAATTAAAATTAAGATTTATTCATACCAAAAATAAACTTCCCTTAAATTCTTCCGTAAATTTCAGGACTCTATGATCATCAGAAGGTTCATCGGTTCACTGCCAATCTTTAGCACTTACAATCTCCCCCTTTGGCAGATAAATCGAAAACCATGAACCTGCAAAGACGAAACAAATACAAATTCTGCAGAATACACAACTTCCTAAGAATACTAATATCACACATGTGTTGTTCTTAGGATCAACTTGAAATACCTGAATAATAGCACATTAGTTCACAAAATATCCCACAAGGTTCATCAAACGCAAGATAATAAGATATAAAGGAAGGAGTTCAAACAAAACACACAAAACAGAGTTTTTTTAACAAAAGGCAAATGAAAGTCCTGCTGAGAGATAACTATGCAGATTCTTCCTCGTCAGATTCTTCCCCTGAACCTTCTTCAGCACCATCCTCAGTCCCTTCCTCTGAGCTTTCTTCCTCTTCCTCTTCCTCATCCTCGACATCAGACCCAGCTTCTTCATCCTCTCCTTCTTCTGAACCTTCATCTTCTTCTACAACCTTCTCATTTCCCTTGTCCTCAGCGGCAACAATCTTCTCTTTCCCCTTTTCCTTAGCAGTAGCAACAACTGCCTTTGTCTTCTTTTCTTCAGCAGACCCAGTTTTCTTCTCCCCCTTAGCAAGAGCTTTCTTCTTTGCAGCAACAACATCTTTCTTTTTCTCCCCATTTTTCGATTTAGAGACCAACGGGGTACGAGACTTTAAAGCACCCAGAACCTCTTTGTAGTACCTTCGCTGATCAGCCAATTTCTTTTCAAGCCCCGCGAAAACTGCCAGTTGCTAATTTAAAAATCCGCGAAGATGTGAAGGTACATAAGAGGCCTTAACAAGAGAAGGACAAAGTGGAGCAATCTTAACACCGAAAAAGGCAAGAGGTTTGTTAACAGGTGCATAATTATCACCAAGTCGAGGATCCATTTTTACACCAGCCTCGAAGAGAATAGTACATATGGTAGATGGATACAACAACAACTTATGAGGCTTAGAGATTTCTGCAAAGCCCACAACAGCATCAAAGATCACAGAGCCAACATCAAATGGAATACCATTAAGAATACGGTAGATAACACGAGCTTGCGTAGGGGTGACAAACTGCTTATGAGTGGTAGGAGTCCAGTTTGAAGCTCCTATCTTCTGTAGAGCATTGGCAGGCGGAGTTAGACTCTTGAAAAAAATTCCCGGAGCAAGCCATTTGGTTAGTTGTCCACCGGTCAAGGTGCGAGCAACTTCATCAAGATCATCAGTCAGAGGTCCAAGAGAGGAACCTTCAGCTAAGCCAAGTACAGAGTTTACCACAGACGGAGAGAAATCAGTCACACTATTACGCACAAACGCTTTCCAAAACTTCTTTGAGGATGGATCAACTACAGAGGTAGTCAGGTTAGAATAAAATTCACCAACAAGCCGGGGACAATACTTCCCAACAGACGTGACCGAACCCTCAAGACCTACTTTCTTCAGAAGTTCAAGCAATCCAAGTTGTTCATAATGTTCGATATCAATCGTCCGCTCAGGACAAAACTTCATTTGAGAAAAGATGGTAGAAAAACGAGTTTCAGCCAAAGGAGAATAAAACTGACGAGAGAAAGCATTACCAACAGTAAGAGGATTGTCTGGACCATCACCCTCGACTTCAACAACGATTTTCCCTTTCTCGGGAGGAGAAAGTTCATTGTCCGCAACATGATTGTTGTCTGATTTCTCAGGTTCAGCAACATAGTTGGTAACCTCCCGTTCAACAGAATCAACATCAGAATTCAGAGACGACTCTCCTCCAGATTTCATGTGAGAAGGAGTACCAGCAGCAGGTTCGGGCACATGAATGACCTTTTTCACCTATTTGGTTTTTGGTGAGCAGTTTCGGCAACCTTCTTGCGCTTCTTTGTAGATTTGACGACAGAGGGAGAACCTTTTCCTCCTTTGTCACTGGGTTCGACGACTTCAGGTTGAGAAACTTTTGTCTGGATAT